ACGCTGAATAAAAAAAAAAGAAAAAAATGAAGAAAACCAAGATAGAGAGAAAGAAAGAGGGGAGAGAGAGAAAGAAAGAGAAATAGAGTTAAAGATGCGACGGAAGATTTATGCAAGTCAGTTAGATTTACTGGTCTTTCAAGTGACAAGGCAGAAAAAAATTAAACTCCAAATAAATTATTGTTTTTGAAATTGGCTACAGGTTGACTGGCGCTGGCCATGATAATGATGACGACCACGACGACGATGATGATAACGATGATGATGATGACGATGATAACAATGAGGATGACGTCGACGATGATGATGATGAAAACAACTGAACAAGTCGGTACACGATTAGGCTCCTCCAACCACATCATCACACGACAAAATTGCTTAAAAAAATCTTCTCTGAAAATCTTTTTTATAAAAAAGGGTTTTCAAATCCTTCATGTCCTTACGACAAACAATTACTTTGTATACACAGTTGCACACCGCGAAAGCATCTATGCCGTGCGCTAGGCGAAAAATATCATCAGAAAATATTTCTGATAAAGATTTACAAAGAATGGTAACAGAGACCGAACTTTAAAATTATGTTAATGAAAATACTGAAGTCTTAATAGCCTCGAATGAAAAATAATAAAAATAATAATTCTAAAGAAAATCAGTTGAAAATTTAAAATAAAACGAATGACGCAACAGAAGTAGTTCTTTCTTTTCATTACTGATAATGGATGTAGTTAAAACTAATGTGAGAATTTTTATAGAGGCCAAACTTCAAAACTTTCACAAAATAAGTCGAAAAAAATTTTTCACCGATCAAGCTGAAATAGGATTAAAAAATTTCTAATCCAAATTATTGGCTCCGACTACGAATGAAACAAGTTTACTTGAAGGCCTGCTTAAATTAGAAAAAACAGCTGAAATTTTGTGTTAAAATATTTAATTTGTGTTTTTTATGAGAAATACATCGAAATACCAATGACAAATACTACATTTAAATATCCTATCTATTAAAAACGTTGATCAGAATATGCAACAAAGGATGAACGGAAGAAACCTGATACTATCACGTAGCTTGGCGACGAATATTTCATGATTACAACAGCGCGTCCGTGAACAAACACCTGCCTAGTACAAAAACCGAACATGAAATGTGTGTGCGTGCGTTTGTGTGTGCGTGTATGTGTGTTTGTTTGTGTGTGTGTTTGTCTTTGTGTGTGTGTCCGTGTATGTGTGTGTGTAGGTGTGTGTGTGTGTATGTGGGTGTGTGTGTGTATCTTTTTTTGACTTGAATAAGTCTACAGTCTAGTACTTTTTCAACACATCAAAAAACAACTTCTTGTTTGGGATGTACATACATGTCGTGTTGAACATTGTGTGTGAGTGTGAGTCAATTATAACCTGCACCACCTAAAACATTCTACAAACAACATACCAGCATTCCACATGTATCAATACAGGACGACTATATGCGAGAATTTCATGAAAATTGAAATTTACATCTATAGTTCACACATATATTTATATGCTTATGTGTTTTGGAGTATTTTTTCATTTAGTCTTGTTTGATTGGCTAAAATTTATTTCATTCCATCTCGTCATTTCCGTTCGTGTCAATTTTTCACCCCATGCCCCTTTTTCACTTCATTCCATCTTTTTTATTTGTTCTTATTTTTTTATTTTAATTTACAACAGTTTCATTAAAGTCTCTTTGATCGCACTCCTTAAATTTCATTCTAATAATATTTTACTACAAAAAAATCTATTTCTATAAACATAAGGAGAAAGAAATAAGAATGAGTAAATGAGAGATAGAGAGACAGAGAGAGAGAGAGAGAGAGAGAGAGAGAGAGAGAGAGAGAGAGAGAGAGAGAGACAGAGAAAGATAATGAGTGTTCATTCAATTCCTATTTGTCAATTAGATCAATTATCCAGACAGAACATCAAACAGTTCATTGAGAGAGTTCATCAGTCCCATTTGCACCCATCCATCCATTAATTCATTCATTCATCTTATTTCAGTTAATTAATCACGCGTTTGAGATGCTCAAAGCTGGTTTTTCAGTTCAACATACTTTTATAAACAGACCAACCGAAGTACATGTACTTAATACATGCACTTTGACATGAGTACATGAGTACTTTTATATACATACATTTCATACACATACATCTTTATAAATGTTTATTCGATTTAGAAGTAACAAAATAATTTTTAAAAGAATTGCTGTTTGACGATCGATGACAGGCAAGTATTCAATACATCATCAATGCATCCGCAACAATTCATTCTTAAAGTATATGAATGAAAAATTCAGCACAATTTAACATATTTTTCTAATCATTTGTCATTAATCTCTATTTTCATTTTTCTCTCTCTTTTTCTATTTTTTTATTCTTTTTTCAAAATATCAAAAAAGTTTTATAGTTTAAATTAAAGTCATATATATATATATATATATATATATATATTTACTTCTTCTATACATATATTTATTTAGTTTTACTGACATTCTTCAAACCACTGTCTACGTAAGTTAGCCCGATAGATTTAGTGCCCTTTCCAATTCATACGCCCTCTTCTGTTGTCGTTGTATGTGTTAATATGTATGTGTGTAGTGGAATGCTGGGAAAATTTTCTATTTTCCGCACATAGCTTACTCAGTTTATTCATTCATTACATTCCTGCACGAGTCTTGGTCCCGTTATCTCGTAATATTAATTTGTTCATTATTTTAAAATCTAATTTGTCAGTTTGTTATCAACATTTAATGAATAGTTTAATTGTTTGATGTTTAATAAAACTGACAAATACAAAATGTATACGTGCATATATAAGTATATTTGTGTGCATGTGTGTGTAAGTGAGTGTGTGTGTGTGTGTGAGTGAGGGAGTGAGTGAGTGTGTGTGTAGAATACGCACAAATAGCACAGATAATTATATGTAACAGTGGAATAATTGCATTATAAAACAATGAACGAGACAGTTGAGGTGCTCGCGCATAAGCGTGAATGCGTGTAAGTGCGTTTTTATATGCGTATTTATCAGTGCTTCTGTGCCTATGTGTGCGTGTGTGTATATTTATGTGTATCGTGTATGCGTGTCTGTTTAAATGTAAAAATGGTTTTGTTAATGCTTTAAAATATGCGGATGATATAGGCTCATCTATGTATTGGCATCATATATGCACAGTACATACAACGTATATTCAAATAATTTTGTGTGAAAGAAACTCTCCACAAGTATGTGGAAGCAATGGCATTCCATCATTGGATTTGCTTAAGTATTTGGAAAGTTGGAAGCGCTGCGCAGCTTGTCTGCACACCTGATGATAACAACTGATTCAAGGAAACATCTTAAAATGTTTAAATATACGTTTAAATGTATTAATAACAAATTAAAATAGCAATTTATTCATAGCTCATAAAGATAATATTCACCAAAATAACTTCAGTTAAAGATGAGTGATAGAATCATGTTTATATTAAAAGGCTTGATAATGTTTCACAAAAAAATAAACCTGCACTTACACATCTATCTTATGATCATAATTTTTATCAACGTATTTAAACAAGACAACATTTGTTAAATGCTCATAAAATTGGGCCAAACTAATTGTATAAAAATTACAATTAAAGAATAAATAAATAATTTATCTATTTGTATTTGGTAGAGCTAATAAACATGCACGGTCTCTCTCTCTTCCTTTCTCTCTCTCTCTCTCTTTCTTAATGTTGATTTTCTCACTCTCTCTCTTTTTTATTGTTGAATTTATTTATATACATTTAAAAATAATTGAAGCTGTGGCTTATAAAGAACTGCTTCGTTCTTCTTTATGTAATTATAGTTTTCGATGAAATTTGATGGCAAGAACATAGGATGGATATTTTTTTACTTTGCATGCGTCGTTCTTGTGAGACGAGTTTCAACAGAAATGTAAAACTTAAAATGCGATGCGAATTTGAGAATATTTATTTTGGGATTTTCAAAACTTTTTCAAAGTTTTCAACAACGCTAATCAAACGTCACTATGGTTACTGAATGGATGGTTTATGTCTGAGATCATAAAGAGCCTTAGCAAATTAGCGAACTTGCAAAATAAGCCCGATAACAATTTGACAGAAAAAATAATAATTTTAAAACATTCTGCTGGAAAACCCGAATCTGATCTGGATCATTCATTCATGTTCTGTTTTGTGGAGTGTGATGTGAGTTGTGTGGTCAGGTCATATGTGGTAGAGTGAGTGAGATAGAATGATAGTATGGGGTCTGCTTTGTTGGAAAGGAATGAGAGAATGCACGGTGGAGGCCAGCCAACAAGAAATTCCAGAAGAACAGAAGAAACATTGCTTATAGACACGAACAAACAGCTATCATTAGATAAATTGTCATGAAGAGATTTTTTAAAAGATTTTTTCAAATTAAAAAAAAAATTATTAACAAAATGAAGAAAAAAAAGTTTTCTACAGTTTTCGACAACTTTTCGAGTAATTTTTTCGAGCGATTGATCAACTTTGTTAATTTGAAAGTAACAACGTCACAAATTGTTTGACAGTCGCCGAGAGAAATTTTTGTTTTCAACTTTTTATCTCATCACTAGCACATCCTCAGCGCAGACCACCGTGGGTAACTAATTTTTCATAATTACTTCTACTTATGAAAAATAAATAAAACGTAGGAGTGGCAGACAGCGTTGCATTTTTCAACGTGCCTTTATAGGCGTAACTACGCAGTTTTGAATCATTCCATCATATTCAAACATATTTCAAATTTTTATGATCTGGGTATGGTACATACGGATACGCATGTGTGCAGGTACAAAAACATATTTGGGTACGTGTGTTGTGTATGTATGTTTAGGAATGTTGTTTGGATTGGCACGAGCAAACAGCAAGACGCATAGCACGTAATATAAATTGGCAACCTTTTATTTACTCCTGTCATGAAAAATCATTTCATTTTTATTTCATTTGTTTCTTATTGTTTCTGGCCGTCAAATGGGGCGCCAGGCATGCGCCTGCGTGTTTGCGCATGTCAAGTAGGTGGGGAAGAGAGAGCTCAAATGGTAAGGAAGAGGAAGGATGAGGTGATGGCGATGATGAGGAGAAAAATGATAACGATGACGGCTGAAAAGATGGTAATGGCTAAAATGATGACGATGATAGAAATGATAACGATGATGATGCCGGTGACGAGAGCAGCGCGAAAAGGTTGGCATATTGATGGTGGCTCGTTCATCACAATTTGAAACGACGACCATCACAATTAACATGCATCGTCAAATTACATGGCAAACATCGCAGCATGCCTCCCTCCACTTTGGCGCCTCAACCGCTGAAATGATATGCGGCCGTTCGCATATTTTTACTGCCTGCAGTTTCTACGCGCGAATGTCGTCTGCAGGTCGACCACGTTAACGTTCTTTACGTCCTTGTTATCATAAATATTCCTTCTACTTAATGCACGCCAAATAAGTGGTCTGCGTTTGTCTTTCAATAAGTTCGTTGTAAATCATTCCACAGTTCAATGTCTTCATTTTTTTGTTGACACTTTGCAGAATGCAAAGAAATTCTTTTCTACCAAAATCAGAATGTTTTAGTTTAATATTCATGATAGTTTATAGGTCTTCTAAAGGAGGTATAAAAATATTTAACAATATTTCCTCTAAACAACTAATCTATAACAAATTAAATAAATTTAATCGAATACATTTTTTAGAAATTTTTTCCATTCCCACATTACTTTTTTAAGCAATTTTATAAAAGAAATAAAATTGGAATAAGAGAGAGGCAAAAAAGAGTTTATTTACTGTTGGAGAATAGTTTTTTTTGAATAAATTACAAGTTCATACTTGCTCCATACAGGGCAGTCCAGGCATCTCATGCTCCCTCCCCGCGTCCACTTCTTCCTCCCAAGTTGGAATATTCATTTAGTAGCAATTCAATTGAAATAACAATTAGTCTGGAAATACATAACAATTTTAATAATTTTATTACACAATGAAACGAGCACGATGAAGGAGAGTTTGCACTGGCAGCATACATTCAGCAGCTCATTTCAAACTGTTGCTTGCAATTAAAAGATAATTTTTCTCATGGTGATTAAAAATGCTCACAAAAAGCATACTTAATAAAAGAGGATTTAAAAAATGTAAACCATTTGAAGGCATATCAATCACTGACCAACGACAAAAAGTTCGATTTATTAAAGACCGTTCATAAGAATTATTGTTGAGTAAAATTATTTTTCTAATAATGTGCGACCACCAAAAATGAGAAAATAGGGAAAAAATTAATTAAAAAAATTTTCAGAAAATCACAAATCTCGAAGTTAGTTGCTAGATCGATGGATAAATGAATGAACAAGTGGATGAATAGATGAATGGATAGATGGATGGATATTCAACAAAAGACACAGAAATGTTCACCGAGCATACAACCGATTGAAAGTTATCAATCACAATATGCACAGTAGGAATACGATGGTGTGGGCGATAAAAAAAATTAGCAGAAGATTTCCTCTCGGCATCCAACTCATTTCCAATGCAATGGAAATTTATTCCCAGAAGGGAAATTTTCATTTCTAATTATTAAATTGATTTTATGTTCCTTCGTCATACCGCAATCAGTTGATCCATTCAAACGAACAATTGATTTCATTCAGTGCGCATGATACAAGCCTAGTCTTTAAAATATTATAATCAGTTGGACGTGATATGAAAATAAAAATTAACAGTTCAACAATTTTTGATAGCAACTTAGTCAAATCTTCATTAGGATCAAGCCATTGAATTGGAAAAAATAAAACATGAATAAGGTCAAACTTATTTTCATAAATAAATTTATGTTCGTAATTTTTCTATTTCACCTTTTTTTTCATCGTTTCTAGCCGTTCTCAACCAACAGTTCATAAATCATTATGAAGCATCAAGGCATTCCCTCACAATTACACCCTTGTTAGGTATTAAGAAGTTCTGCTGAAATTATCGCCAACAAGGCCGCTACATTCATGTGCTGTTGTTGTGGCTGTAGTTATTGTTGTTGATACTGGTGTTGCTGCTAATGTTACTGTTTCTGTTGTTGCTGTTGAAATTGTTGAAATTTGTTAGTTTGATGCATTGTTATCCAGATACATATGAGCGCATATGTTTGTATCGAGTAACCAACGTCTGTGTAAATTGGTTAAAGCTACTTCAAAAAAATCAATTTTAAACTTTCTTCAGTCTTCAATGGGAGAAAGAAGCATTTTTGTCGTTGAATACAATTATTTTAATATTGATATTTTTAACAACTGATTAGGGATGTCGTTGTTGTTGTGATGGTTGATGATGTTGTTGTTGATGTGCTAGTTGATGTTGTTTTGTATGAAAAACCAAAAAATTGCATTACTTTAATAAAAAAATTTTTGTTATTGTGAAAAACTTGCAGCAAAATATTTAAAATAGAATTGTGAAAGAAAAACTTAAAATCGAGCAAGGCACGTAGAAAGCTGGCATTTAAGACTTAAGATGTTTTATTTAATCGCTTTATGATGGCTCCTTCTTAACGCTCCAGCGTTAGTGCCACGAACACAACATTGCAAACATTTGTTGGACAACTTAACACAGATTTTTTGAAAGTTTGACGATAAAAAGAAAATAAAAATGCTAGAGAACTTATTCAAAAATTTGAGCAACACAGTAATAGCGATTTATAATATTTAAATTCAGAAAGAAAATCTGTGGAAAGAATGCTTTCTACCAAATTAAACTGATTTTAAATTAAAATTTTAAAATTTTAGCTTAGCAAACAATTTTTTATGTGCTGGAAAACTAACTGTTTGTTATTAACAGTATTAAAATTATTATTACAATTTTAACAATCGTCATTACATCATGCAAGCATGTCGTCCGCCTTAAATTATCATCCAGTATCAACAATCGTTCATGAACTTTTTTATTTCATCTCAAAAACATGAACATGACACTCACATCATCACTAATTGTTACCATTCTATAGCATATATTCATTTCATTATCTGCATTGTCATTATTAAAATTAGCATTGTTGTTATCATTTAATCACTCTTATTATAGAAAATACTTCTATCAAAATTATCGTGAAAAATTCTCCAGTCATTCTAGATTCCACGACTTCATCGTTACAACAACAACGAAATCACTGTAATAAAATTTTAACATCACTAACAAAAACATCAACAACAACATCAACATTAACAAAAACAACAACTTGACCATAATTAGCTAAAGTGACGTCACCACAAACAACAACATCACCATAATTAACTGAAATGACATGCGCTCATGTGCGCCTGTCCGCTTCAACTGTCCAGTTCACAACTTTAAAATTTCAAACCAAATGCTAAGTACATTTGTAACTATAGAAGTTCTTGCTGATGTTGTTGTTTTTGTTGTTGTCGTTAATGGTGTTGTTGATGTTGTTATTTTGGTTGTTATGAATGTTATTTATGTTGTTTGCGCGATTGATGTTGTTGAATTAACGTTGATGTAAGATGTATTACGAAGAGTTTCTCGCGTGTTACTTTACACAGATATAAAAAAATTTGCAGTTTTAATATCATCTATAACAGAAAAACAACCAGTTTAATATTATTTCATAATTTCATTTTATAACTTAACCTATCATTATTCTAATTAATGTACAATGTACGTTGATTCAAAATTTCCGCAAGTTGTCTTGATCCGCCACTATCACTCAACTATTAAAAGTACATCATTATTTCTTTCTAATGTTCTGTTAATATCAACGTTAGCGTCCTTCCATTCTCAAAATCCTTTTTTGATTCTCTGCTTTATCGAGCAATCTAAAACAAGGAGCATTTCTTTATATTCATTTTATTTCTGAGCAGATCGTAAAAATCATCCATCGTCGTAACCATAATCGTCTTAACCATCATCATCATTAATGTCATCATCATCAACATCATCTTTGTTAACGTTATCATTGTCCTCACCTTCTACATCTCTATCGTTTTCATGATCGTCATAAGCATCATCATCGTCAACAACATCATCATCGACATCATAAATATATTCATCATCTTCTTCATCATCATCGTCATCGTCGTCATCATTCACATCATCTTCATCTTCTTTATCATCATCATCAACATCGTCGTCACCACCATCATCATCATCATCATTGTCATCATCACCATCATCATCACCACCCCGTACTTTGTAGTCATGATAGTGATGATTTGGATGAACCTATTAATGTTAGGCCACGGCGAGCAGTAAAATGCAGAGAATAGAAATCAATTTATACTTCTTTTATCTGCTCATTCTCTCTTTTTGTCTTTTTGTTGTTGCTGTGACGTGTGTGTTGTTGCGTTGAAAGTGTGTTGTTGTGTGTGTGTTGCGTGTTTTGTGTGTGTTGTATGTTGTGTGTGTGTTGTTGTGTTGTTGTGTGTGTGCGTGCGTGTTTTGTGTGTGTTGTATGTTGTGTGTGTTGTTGGGTTGTTGCGTGTTTCGTGTGTATTGTTGTGAATCAGCGTAGTAGAGGAGTGTATTTTGTTGAGATCTTGTACACAGTAACTTATTTATTTACGTCTGCACAGTTGATTTGTTGAGTAATATTACCTGACCTGTCTATGTAGCTTGTTGTTGGTTCACTAATGCCGTCTACTGGTCGTTTTTCATAGTTTTTTGTTGTTTAACGTTATACAGTTTTGTCATTTAGTTCATCGAGTGTGTTGTTGTTTCTGAGTTTTTTCTTTTGATGTTGTAGGCTTGTTGGCAGGATATTTCTCATTGATAAACTATATTGTCGTTGTTAATCTAGATTGGCGTATGCTGCTGTGTCATGTTGTTTATGTTTTGTTTTGTTGTTTAGCTCTTTGGATTGATATATTTTTTTGTTTGTTAATCTAATTGTGTTTTATTGTTTAGTTCTTTGAATTTTGTGTTTTGTTGTTCAGTTTTAGAGTTCTTGGTATTTTGTTGTTTATTTCATTGAAATGTTGTTACATTATTTTCGCAATTTTGGCGTTTTGTTGCATTGCAATATAATCTTTCTTGAATAATTCCTTCTACAAGCACGGATTGTCATCAAATTTTTCATTAGCGATAAATGCTTGCGGACAAAATGAATTATTAAAAAAATATCAACTCGCATAAACGCACACACAATTACGGATAGATGCACTTGTACGTGAGTGTTTAGTTCAGTCTGCGTGTGGACGTGTGAGTTGAAATCCCAATCAGCCGTGTTAAGGTATGAATATTGAATGAAAAATCTGAATTAAAATTTTAATTCATCCCAACAGAATGTACTTGATGAATGGGTCGAACAGTTGAAAGTCGTCTCAGAACACAATCAGGGTGCATATTTCACGTTAAATGATGATTAACAATCGAGTGCAATATTTTTAATTTTTTTAAATTTCAAAATATTTAAAATAAAAAAAAGTCGTTCATTTTTTAAAAAAAATTTCATTTAAACACAGTGAACAAAACGAAGAAAGCGAAGAAGAGAATGTAGATGATGAGGAATGTGGATGGAAGTAATAACGATCGATCACAAGGGATAATGAATGTGGGAACATCGTGCCTCCATTAGAGCAGACGTCACTTACGTTCGTAAACAGCAGCCGCCAGCCAGCATCCTAGCTACAGGACCTGCATGCAGTCAATGATTTCCTTCTCTACTAATTTAAATAAATGAAGTAACAGCTGGAGTATTTTTACATTTAATTAACCTCCTTCAAGAAGGAAATGTTTACTGCTGCATTCGTCTTTTGTAGACGCTGACAGCATGTAAATTGGCATAATTATGAAGCCTGCCTCCACAACTTTTCACATTCATTTAAATTGCACTAAAAACATTTTTATTTCAAAAATTTTCATCGTTCACGTCAATACGTTAAACATAAATGTAGCATCAGCATTCTTAAGTTCGCGCATGTTTCGGCAATGAATTAATTGTTGGGGTTCATTCTGAAGCTGACACTAAATGAGGCTTTAAAAGATTTAAATGGCTATCCGTATTTATGAAGACACATTCATCACTGATGCATCGTTATTTGGTCAGTCTGGAAAGCTTTTCTTTCAATTGCAGGCTAGAGCCCTGCGCGGTTTGCGGTTGTCGCGGTTTAAACCCCAAAAACCGCACCGCAACCGCGGTTTTCTGCGGTTACGGTGCAAAATCATGCGGTTTTACGCGGTTGCGGTTTTGAAATATGCGGTTTTTCCGCGGCGCGGTTTTTTTTATCAAAACCGCGGTGACCGCAAAAATTTTGTTAAATATTTTTGTTCGTCCATAACATTTTCAAAATTGCATTATCATTGTAATAATTTTATATATTAAAATCTTAATATCTTTGGAAGCCGTTAAAGCAACCATTTTCTTTTTCCTGTTTACTTTGAAAGAAGTAGTTATTTTATTTACGGCGTGGTTAATTATCGATTATTTTATAAAAATGTCCGAGGTAAAAAATGTTGAAGTTGATCCACGGGTAGATGTAATTGATAAAGAAAGGGTAGGATCATCTCTCAATTATACACTGCAAAAGAGACGGTCCAGTTTAAACCCATACAAAATTGACAAAATGTTATTTATTAAGAGTAACAGTGATTTGGATGTAGATAGCTGTGATTTATAATGTCGATAAAAGCATTAATGTTGTTTTTCATTTCTTGCGGTGCGGTTGAGGTTGCGGTTTTCGGCGGTGCGGTTGCGGTTTTCGACGCTGCGGTTTTGTGCGGTTGCGGTTTCAAATGTTGCGGTTTTGTGCGGTTGCGGTTTTTGAAATTTCCAACCGCGCAGGGCTCTATTGCAGGCCATATTTTTATAGATGAACTGAAAGTTATTATGCAACTTCTTGAAGTAAATAAAAACAAAATGGTAAAATAAATTTGTTTGTTTTTTAAAATATGCATAAAAACTCAAAATAAATGAAAAACGAAAAAAGGTTTATACAAATTGCTTAATCCAAAGAAGCGCTGAAACAAAAATTGAGC